AACCCCCCCCCAGCCCCCCCCCCCGCCGCCGCCCCTTCTTCTCCACCACCCCTCGCCGCCGCCGCCACCCGGGAGACGTCGTCCAGGGTGAACACGGGTACCGCGTTGCCGACCTTGATGTCCTCGAGGAAACGCGCATCGTCGCTGGTGGCGAACACGAACTGCGGCGAGACGTCAAGCTTGGCGGGCGCCCACCGGAGCAAGACGTCGACCGTGTCGCGGAAGTCCTGCTCCTCGACCCAGCACACGCCTCCGCCATCCAGGGCCTCCTTCACCCAGTCCCGAGCGCTGCGTTTATCGGGGATTGGGGGGGGGGGNNNNCAGTACATACCGTCAGAAGGCAAATTCGGCCGCATTCGTGGCTTATCAGAAGCAATTGAATCAGGAGTTAGAAGAGTCAAACGTCTTTCCTCGAAGGTAAAATGCAATGCGTGCTGGGTGTGCTCTCGCTTGCCTTCAAAATCTCAACGCACTGCCCGGAAAAACGACGGCATCGTGGGGCGGAACACACCCGTGCCGCGTGGCAGCGATCTACGGGACCTCTTGCCATTTTGAGAGTATCAAATGCCGAAGCCTTGATGCTCCGTGTGCCGTTCACTCTCTCTTTCTCTCTGTTCTGGGCCAGGATATATACGCTGGGTTCGAGCAATCAAAATCATTAACCAATCTACTGTTTGAAGGGCATCCGTGTGATTAACCGAGAGTCCACGGGACAAGCCGGGGGCAAACGTAACTCGTGCATGAGGCGTGCCGCCCCCCGCCCCCCAACATGCGACGACGCTTGCACGCACACCTTGTCAACGTCGACGGAACATCAACGTTGGCATGAACATTTATCCGTCCCGCTGCTGCGGGCAACGCCTCCCCACCCACCTTCCTCGCTTCGCGTTTGGTCAGCGCGCGTACCGAAGATTAGGTGTAGGAGCAGCCCCCCAACCAAAAACCACGAGCGAAACCAACCCGCTACAAAACCGCACCGAACCCCCCCCTCGAAGACGAACGCCCTCTTACCTCCCGGTTCGATACTCCTCCTCGTAACAGGAGCACGACTCCTCGAAATCTTGTCGCCTCACGTGAGCGCACATGAACTCGGCCGCGGCCGGGTTGCGGCCGCCAACGTCCGAAAGCTCCTCGTCCCCGCCCTCTCCCCCTGAGTCCGCCTGCTCCGCCGCCGCCGCCGCTTCCGTCGCCTTTTCTCGGAAGCGCTCGAGGCTGTCGTCCACGAACTCGTGCACCCAGGACGCCTCCTCCGAGACGTGAAGCTTCACCATGGCGTGCCAGTGGGTGTCCCCAACCGTCGAGTCCGGCGTCCAGCCCTGATTTAAAAGGTTTCCACGAGAGCCATGGGTTTGCAGGTGTTACAAAAGGCGCGGCTCCGGAGTGGGCTCGCTCATCAGAGCTTAGAACTAGCGCCCATGACGGCGTGAAGCAACACGAAAGTGGAGCATGTCCGTCGTGGTGTGGACCAGCTGCCATCGTGACAATTCCCAACCTCGAACAGCTCACACCGCTGACGTGCCTTTTGACTCGAAGAGGAAACCTCAAACGAGTCAAAAAGAAAAATTTCAAGTCTGTAGACATTCTTCTTACTGCCGACCGGAGCGCATGGTCAAGGGACGGCCCAGAGACGGTTTTGGAGAAACATGGTACATACCGAACAAACACGATTTCTTTTTACTTTGAACACGTGGCCCAATGGTGAGGCTGCTGCTGCTCCTGCTATTTGCCGACCTCTCTGCCCCGTACCGTATATGACACAAGATAACACACCCCCTGGACCGACTTTCAAAGCTCGATTACTCCACGACGAAGAGGATACATAAACGAAACGATACATCTTCAAAAAGCTCTCGACGAGACAGTTTCAACGCCGCCGTTTTCGGCGCTGTGGCTGTTCCTGCAGTTGAGAAATCGAGCTTCGAAAATTGGTCAAGGGGGTGTGTTATCTTGTGTTATATACGGTAAATCTGTCTGTCTGGCTGTGGTTCTCTCGGTCTTTACCTCTGTCCTTGTCGCCAAGAAGCGAGAGAGACCTCCCCACACACAGCAACCCCTCAGCACCACCGTAGCACGCAAGGAGGTACAGCAGTACATGGACAAAAGATGTGATTGAAGGAAGCGTACCGCTGCTACTATCTGGGACTATTCTGCAGACAGTCCTCCGCCCATGACCCGGATCACATGGATCGAAACATGACCCCAACAACCTCTTGAACCGACACAACAGCAGCAGCATGATACGAACGAATCGCATGTCTTGCATTTCTTTGTCTTCGGCCAATATGACAAGCTGCGATCGGAGGCGGAGGAGGCGCAACGAGTGTACAGCAGCAGGGCGCAGCATGCCCCCACAAAGAACACTAGACGACCTGGTTACTCATGGGATACCCCCTGATTCTGCTCTGTACAGAGGGACCCACCCAGGCAATTCTGCGCCATTCTACATCACAGATAGCTTAGAGCTGCCAAGAACATTCAGTCTCTGCGAGGACACACATCTTAACAGCAGCGGCCCCCTCTGAAGGCGAGGATACATACACGCACGAGACTCCACTCTCAACAGCAACGGCCACCGCTGAAGTCGCACTGCGGCAGCTGCAGGAGCCCGGCGTCCCAGTATTATATTCTTATTCACAAGCTATCGCGGCGGCCCCGGTCTGGATGACCGCAGCACACCTTTCTCCACCTGGCTGACATTGGCTTTCAAACGCGAAGGTGGTCTCGGGGAGCATCCATTTATCCACCCACCCCGCATATCCACCCACCCCGCCGCAAACAAAAGCATGGACGAAGAGCGGCGGCAAAACACCCGGCGCCGTGTATCTATTGGGCAGCACAAACAACGACAACAGCTGTGCCTTGTTTTATTCTTCAACTCACCTGGAACATGCCGAACATTGCCGAGATGGCCAGAACCTGATCTTCCATTTGTTGTAGTTCGGACCAACCGGCTTCCGTAGCGTTGGCCAACGGGAGCGGGACCTGCCGGGGGGGAGGGGGCGGGGGGCGACGACGGGTTAGAGCCATCTTACAATAAGAAGATCTCAAGCAAGGATGACCCCGCCAGAGCAGCCCAAATAGGAGAGGTCAACCATAGCAGGGAAGCATCGAGAATACACGCGTCGAGCGAACATGAAAATAGACAAGAAGACGAGGCATAGGCTCTCTGGTGGTAACACGGAAATCGACAAAGGAATAGACAAGGCGTTTGCCCTGGCGGCGTATTTGGAGGTCGACACCCTCCGGCTCGCCTCTGTGTTTCGTGTTCCCCTTCTTGCGTAACGATAGCTGCATGTACGTTCCCTCTAACGCGCACTCTTGCGGGCAGCCAGCAAGGAAAAGGTCGAGCGTGTCAGCGTCCGTTTGGCTTCGCACGAGGCCTTCCTCCCCTCTTCCCCAGCCCAGCTTGTTTATGCGTCCAAACGAGATCTTGCTAAGCTTTCAAAATCGAGTCTTGCTTCTGTAACAGCGAGCGAGGGGCCGAGCCCTGTCACGTCACGTGACGTCATCTTCCACGCCAACCCAAACGCGGGGCATATTGCCGCCGCTGCCAGAAGGCTGCCGCTTCCGTAATACCACAGGAAGGTATCGTTCACATACAAACACGGACCCCCCCTGGTCTCCGTGCGCAGCCATGGAAAAACCGCCCCTCATCATTCCATGAGAAATAAACAAACTCCGGGGATGAAAAAGTGAAACAAAAAAACTGCATATCACGCACCTTAGGAAGCTCTCCCCAGCCCATCCTGCCGAAGTACTCGTCGTTCCCCGCGAGCTGCTTGATGGGCATGTCCGCCAGGTAAACCTTGGTCGGCGGCAGAACGACCTACAGCAGCATCGGTAACAAATAGTCGCCGTTGGCATGGCGTCGGTCGACATTATTTGTTTGCCGCGGTTCAGGCCCCGTGTATTTCACCCCCCAGGGCACCAACCTCAGCGCCGCTGCTCGCGGAGCTCGAACTTTCTCATGTATGTGTACCAGCGAGGGGGTGAAAATACCGACCAAATACGGTTTCGGAAAAAGCTTCGATGATAACCTTCTGTTCAAAACCTTCATGGGTCAATGGCCCTTTCCTTACTGCCTCGGAGAAACAGTTCATGCTTGAAAGAATCGGTTCAAGGAGGAGTGCGGGCTCTCGATCCCACGGGTTGTGCACGGCACACACCGTCCGAAAAAATTGAGCAGCGCGTCTGCTGCGTACCAAAACACGGCCTTAACTCGAGACGGCGACGAGGCCAAAGAAGGGGCAAGTGCACCGGGCAGCACACACACACACACACACCAACCAACACCCTCATTCCTCTCTCACATCGCAGTCTTGCAAGAGATCGTCGAAGTCCGCCTGAAGAATGACGTTACTTCGTCCGACCAGTTCTTCCAGGAAGCCAAACTCCCAGATCGCATCGTAGCGTACCGACCTCCCTTATGAGACAACAGGGGGACGGGGGGGGGGCGCGTACTCTTTTGTTTCGCATGCCTTAATGGTTAGACAATTGACCACGCGTCCTCGAGAGGACGGAACATGGTTCTCACAGGACCGATCACCGATGATGGCTAATCGTTCCTTCCTACTTTGTCAACAGCGGGGGGGTTTACTCAAAGTCGTGCATGCCGTAGTCGTTAGACCATTGACCTCGCATCCCTACAAAGCCGGGACGGAGCACGCCGGGTTCTCACCGGACCAGGCTCTCACATCACCAAGCGCGAAGCGCCGTGAGNTACTTCCTTGCATACGGATGACAGCTGCGAATGACTTAATTTATTTTCTGGTGCTTTAACTTCCAGAGACCGTTGTTAGCATTGTGTAACGGCCTCGAGGGTGCTTGACCATTTTAACACAACGTGGTGCGATCATCCCCCTTGCGCGGAGTGAGGGTTCTCCAACCCGCACAACATGATCTACTCGACCACCAGTATGGTTACCGCCAAAAAAAAAAACGGAGGTTAAAAAAAAAAACGGTAACCTGGTTGCCGAGCTCACGACGTGAATTGGCTTGTTTTACAACGTCGTTGCCAAGCGACGAAAACCCAATCCCGATGGCAAACACCGGGGGGGGCGGCTTGTTTTACAAGGTCGTTGCCAAGCGACGAAAACCAACCCCGATGGCAAACACCGGGGGGGCGGCGAGGTAATGTGAGAACAACGTTGCTCTTGGTCTTGGTCTCCTCGTCCAGGTGCGGATATGCGGCGGGCACGCGGCGTTCCACAAACAAGAAAACAGAACGTTCTTCCGTCGACCTCCGCTCATGAAAATCATGGCCGTTGAGTGGTGCCGCTGCTGTTGACATGCACGCGTCGGCCGGCTCTCCTTCCTCCGGCCGTCGGTGTGTCTGCGGCTGCACCCTCGACGCCTGTGTAAGGCAACTCTTGACCAAAAGCCGTGTAGGGCTACCAAAACAAATGCGGCGTGTGGTACCTTCTTGTGGATCCAAACGTCCAAACTACCGAAAGGGAGTCCAAAGATCGAGGGCACCCATGGCATAACACCACGCGGAAAAGAGGGGTACAGCAGTGCGGGCGCGCACTCCCACCAAACACAAAATTGATTAGCGCCAATTATTGAGCAAGGCTCAAAAGCCTTGCGACATGTCCACACCGTTACAAAGTTACCTCGTGAGAAAGTAGGACATTGTGTGGTGCCGGCGGCCGGGCTAACTTTCTTGCGGCACTTTTCTGTTTACTTCGGCAATCTGAGCCTGGGGCTGCTTGGCTATCAAGGTGTGTTTCATACGAAGAGTGGGCCAGAGCTACTGCTGTGTACCAGTAGTAGAGAAAAACCAATGTCGTGGCCGCTGCAGCAGCAGCAGCAGCAGGAGGCGGGTGGCGGCTTTCACCTTCTCCATTGTCGGCAATGTAGTCGGGCACCACCAACACTCGGCCTAGCACCCTCGCTACCGCTAACGCCGCGTCCAACGCTCGAAGCTGGTTGCCCATCCCAAACTGTGGCTGGTAGATCTACGGCGGGGAGCGGTGTGGGAGCAGCAGCAGCAGCAGCAGCAGCAGCAGCAGCAGCAGCAGCAGCAGCAGCAGCAGCACGATTGCACTATGGCTGTCAGCATGGTGGCTAAGCACTACGGTGGGCTTTTTCTCAGACGGCCTTAACGCACAGCCAAAACAAACATCGGGTGGAAAGAGGGACTTAGCGAGCAAAACCAACACACTTAACACCGGTGTGAATGAGCCACCAAATACCGCCACTGGCCAACGCAGCCACCCCACACCATACCCACATTTTCTCTCGATCCCCTTTTCCCGTGATTTGTAAGGCCACACTACTGAAACGATACAATCGACAGCCACATATCTACGATTCTCAGAAGGGAAATGGCCAAAAGTGGGTATACCCACGCCATTCTAGGCCAAAAGTGGGTACTCAAAAACCTGGCGCGCGCGCACTCCATAGGCGACCCCCACACGACTCAAAACCCCAGTCTGACACCTGGGCGACACAGCCAGGGACCATACACAGCACGGGCATCGATTTTTTCCCACTTTCAGGCACACCTTTGGCCCTAATGCCGCCGAGGCGCGCAAGGCCTCACCAGAGTGCCCCCTTCTGTCCGACATCGTGGTGGGTATACTCAGCGGCGTCTACTCATTTTTTCATGTACCCACTTATGGCTGTATTTTGACCGACTTTTGTCCAAATTGCACCCACTTGGGTCCACATACGGACGGCGGAAATCGAGCAGGAATCGACCTCCACGTAAACGTACGGCAGAACATCGAATAGCCTCGGGACGTCTCAGAACCTCCCAACACCGTATCCATGGCTGCCGACTGCGGACCGATCGCGGAGGAACATGTCAGAAACATGCCAGACCCCTTCGGTACCGGCACGGGAAGATACCAGGCACGTGACGATACCCGCGGCACGCCCGGCAAGCAGCGCACTAACGGCACGCCACAAATAAATGCGTGACACACAACGGACAACAAAACCAGCGTTTCGCGCATACAGAAGAAAAAGACGCGCATGCAGCAACACGGCCACCACCACCACGAGTGCACACCGACTCGTGAGGGCAGCAGCGGCATGTCGAGGCAGTTTACCACGCAACTACGTAAATGTAAAAGAGGGTATTCATATGCACTACATGTATGTTGTATACGAAGTGAAGATCCGGCCCGATACCCTCGGTCGGTCCGCAGTCGGCAACCATGGATACGAAAGATGCCATGGATACGGTGTTGGGAGGTCCTGAGACGTCCCGAGGCTATTCGATGTTCTGCCGTACGTTGACGTGGAGGTCGATTCCCGCTCGATTTCCGCCGTCCGTAAGTGGACACAAATGGGTGCAATTTGGACAAAAGTCGGTCAAAGCACAGACAAAAGTGGGTATATGAAAAAATGAGTAGACGCCGCTGGGTATACCCACCACGATGTCGGACAGAAGGGGGCACTCTGGTGAGGCCTTGCGCGCCTCGGTGGTATTAGGGCCAAAGGTGTGCCTGAAAGTGGGAAAAAAATCGATGCCCGTGCTGTGTATGGTCCCTGGCTGTGTCGCCCAGGTGTCAGAATGGGGTTTTGAGTCGTGTGGGGGTCGCCTATGGAGTGCGCGCGCGCTGGATTTGGCGTGGGTATACCCACTTTTATCCATTTCCCTTCTCAGAACTCCAAGGGTAGACTACGTGCGGTGCCCGGCAGATCTCCGATACGACATGAGAGCGCAGGTTGGTGTCGCATGAGTCGTATCTCTCTCTGTCATGCCGCACACGAGCCGCCCGTTTGCCACAAACATCACCACGTGTGTGTGTGTGTGAAAAGTACATGCACACACGGGGGTGAATCCAAATAAACGCCAGCTGTGGCTTTCGCGCTAGAAGAAGGCAAGCCCTTGGTTCACTTGTGGAAACACAAATACACTGTGGCAACACGGAACTCCCGTTTCTAGAAGATTCACAATCACAGCTTGTCTAACGGGATGTGCTTGCCTTGTCAGGCCACAACGAACACATCAACACAACAACCGACAGCGCGCTAATCAGCTCTTACCTACTACAGTAGTGGTGGTCCGGGTATTCCGCGGTAGAAACCGCTCGTCGCGGGATTTGGCTACCATTTATATTGCTCAACACTCAACAATGCGGTTTCCCGATACAGCCGTGTTTTTATTGCCTGTCACCATACGACTGTAGTGAGTTGGCGATCTCGCTCACCAGGAATTTGGCGAGCGCGTAGTTCGGCTTCGGCATCCCGGGCCTTTTCCACAAGTCCTCTAGGTCCTTGTTCCTCTCGACCGAGGTTCGCAAGCGTTGGAAGAACCGGTACGCCTGGAGCCGCAGGTGCGTCACGTCCCGATGTCTCCGGGACAGGAGGTCGTACGCAGGGACGGAAGACACCGATGGGTATTTTACCTGGCAAAAAAACAAAACAAGTAAACGAGGGTCGGCACGACAGAACGAAAAGCAGCCTTAGATTGATGAAGAAACAGAAAGGAGCGGGAGATAGGTGAAGGACAAAAGAGAGATTGAGAGGCCGTTGAATGGTATATAGTAGGTAAGAAGGCTCAGGTCTAACCGGAGAGAGCACTTATCCACAAAACGACACCAAAACGCACTTCAAATACTGGCGTCTACTACTATTCGCCGAGCACTTACAGTCGAGACTTTGATTGGCGTGCTGCAAACCTCCCCCGGCTACGGGCGCCGGGGTCATGACGGCCTAAAGAAGCCAAGTCATTCACTACCCTTTGTGACGTGTGCCTGTGCCGAGCGCTACCAACAAGCATTTGCCGCGAAGAGGCGGAGAGATGGCGCCGCCCCCCCCCCCCCCCCCC